AGAGACTGAGCTGAATACAGCAACTCAGACTGAGGAAGTCTCTCGGATGAGAGACTGAGACTGAGCTGAATACAGCAACTCAGACTGAGGAAGTCTCTCGGATGAGAGACAAAACGTTTCTACATTTTTTTGTTGTTTTGCTTTGTTTTGGGTTTTTTTGAATGTCCAGAGGACCAGATTTAACTTTTTTAGATTTTTCTACCTGGATTATTGAGCATGCATCAGGAAATGTTAAATTATGTAAATAATAAATAAACATACAAAAGTGAAAATCTGCAAGTAAAATGTCCTGCATTAAATGTCTTTGGAAAGGGCATTCTAGTCTACCTTCTTAAAAGGTGTGATGCCGAAACCCACACACAAGTCCAGTAAACAACAAGTGAAATGAAAGACACTAATTATCTTATTATGGCACCTGGCAGTGGGTGGAATAATTTAGGGAGCAAATGATGTCATGTTTTGGAAGCTGTAGTATTTTCTATTACCCTAAGTTGGACAAGTACTAAACTGTGACATTAGACAGACTGGTCAAATGTCCACATATGTAGCTCTTATGGGATTTTCTGGCTGTACAGAGGTCAGGACCATCCGAAAGTGGTCCTAGTGAGGGAAACCAATTAATCATGGACAACCAAGACTCACTGATGTAATCAGAGAGCAACAGCTGTCCTGTGTTATGTCTCTCAAACCGGTGTCTTTGTAAGCATATTTCAACACAGAAGGCAAGGGGAGAATGGACATTTTACTTATAAAGCGCATTTCATACACACGTTGACTCAATGTGCTGCACATTAAAAATAACAAGATACAAAAATAACAAAAACAGAAAAGAACAATATATACAAATATTATGACATATGCAAAATCTGAATTTACCAAATTTAAAAACATGTAAGATCTCAATCATAAGCCTGGAAAAAAAAAAGAAAAGCATCACAGCTTGAAGACAAAACTCAATTGGCACGTATGAGTTCATATGGTTTTGACAACGAGAGCAAAATGACTTGTTACTGTTTTTAATTTGAACAGAATTAATTTGATCACTGCTGCTCCTAAAACCAGAAGGTGAAAACATCAGACTGCTTACTCGTATCAATCCTGAAGCATGTGAGGTGGAATCTGCCCATGTAGAAGTCGAGACCGATGATAGCAAACATGAGGATAGCAAAGAAGAGCAGTAAGCCAATCTGTAGCAGAGGAACCATGGCTTTCATGATGGACTTTAACACCACCTGAAGACCTGAAGCCAAACAGAAAACACTTTGAAACACTTATACGATTGTAGGACAGCCTGCAGACAACATGTGGAAAACAAAAACTGGAAATGTAATACAGTAGTCCCTCGTTTATCTCGGGGGATCCGTACCCTGAAGTCCTGCTGTGATAAGTGAAAAACTGTGACGTAGGAATAGTAGTAAAAGTAGTAAGTAGTGGTTTATATATATATATATATATATAGATATATAGA